CTTGGTGCAAATAAAGTCTTGTCAACATATTCTCCAGCGTCTCCTCGTCCCTCGTGTGTGTGTGCAACGTGACGGATGTGTTATATTTTCGACCATTAATCATGAGAGTTGTATATTTAATGTAAATGTTTAAATGAAAAACATTGTTTACTTCATCACATACTCATGCTATTTATTGCTTACTAATCAGAATATGGTGTGTGACAAGGTTTATAAAAGAGGCCTGTCTGGTTGGCGAAAAATGCATTTTGTCTATAAATTATTTGAAAAAAGGATAATTGTGACAACACAATTAACGCACATTAACATCATATTTAATCATCACTTCTCTTTTTTTTTCTTTACATTTTTACCTCTAGCAACATATACCATATTGGACTCATTAAATCTCATTAAATAATAACAATAATAATAAAACAAAGGACTATCTGACAATGTGCCATTGTATTACAGAAAAATAGCATAAGCCATAAATAAAATCATACACAAAGGAATGTGTATATGTAGCTGGGCTAGTGCCATGTAATTTGAGACTAGTTTCGTCCCATAAGTGGCAAATGTGACAGAAAAATATTGTAAAGATATAAAAAATATATACATAAAGTGAAGTCTATGATGACAGCAAAACTGGTGGCGTCTGAATGGCAAAGATTAAGAATAGTGAAATGATTACTCACCTTAGCAGGAAGGAAGATCTCCAAGAACAGGATTACCAGCCTTGCATTGAGCTATAATGACAATCATAACAAAGAGACACATGACCCCGACAGGTAATTAAGCAAAGATAACCACCATAATTATCACTGGTCGATAGGCACCAAGTACTATTACTTTTCCCTCTTGGGTGATGACAGAAAAAAAAGCCTTGTACAGTATTAAAAGGCAAGGGTAGGTTAAGGTTTCTTGACAACTTGTCATCTGTGAAGCAATATTTCAATCTTGGTGATTGCGTCTAACTTCTGGTGTAAGTATGAACTCTTTTGTTAGACATACAAATATCAGGTATTACATACCTTTAAAGTTATTTCAGAATCATTGGTGGGGCTTGTGGTGCTAATACAGTATAGAATGATTTTGTGGTTTCAAAAAACACGGCAATTAGTGCAAAAAATGTGAATGTAAAAACTGATCGACAGAAAACAAAGATTGTTATCTATAACATATGCATCATAACTGGTTTACATATAAAACAAACCGTGACAGGACTGTTGTTACTTTTGTGTTGTTGTTTTTCAGGTTTTGTGTAGAGCAACTAATGGACAACCAGACCTTCACAAACAAACAAAAAAAAAGTTACACGTCAGTTCTCCTATCTTCATCCTGCTTCTCTTGGCTTATATCTTTACAATGGGATGTAACATTGGACTTGTATTTGTGATCTCAACTGAAAAGAATCTGCATCACCCTATTCATTTTCTGTTCTGTAACTTGCCACTGAACGATATACTAGGGACCACTGTCATTATGCCACGCTTACTACAGGACATTTTAAGGGAAACCTCAGAGCACTACATGACATATGTGGACTGTGTTGTTCAAGCTTATTTTGTACATGTATTTGCAGCAGCAAGCCACTATGTGCTGATGATAATGGCCTTTGACAGATATGTGGCTATATGTAATCCACTGCGATACTCAGCTATAATGACTAATAAAATGGTGCTTAAACTATCAGCATTAGCCTGGGGGGTGTCAGTAATTACAATGACAATTCCGATAGGACTCACTGTACGCCTGTCTCGCTGCAAATATAAAATTGAAAGCCCTTTCTGTGATAATGCCTCACTGTTTAAACTGTCCTGTGAGGACAGTGTGGCTATTAATAATGTGTATGGAATCATTTCTACTGTGGTTATTTTTATTTTCTCACTTGGGTCTGTATTCATTACTTATGGAAAAATTGCTGCAGTATGCATAACCAGCAAAAACAAAGCACTGAACAGTAAAGCCATAAAAACATGTGGCAAACACATAGCTGTTTATATAATTATGTTTGTTTCTTGTGCCATCATGTTTTTTTTTCATCGTTCTCCTGAATACTCTGAAAATAGGAAGCTGGCTAGTGTAATGTTCCATATTGTACCACCAGGACTAAATCCTTTAGTATATGGTTTACAAACCAAAGAGATAAGACAAAAGACTTTTAAACTTTGCTGTAGATAATGTCAATTGAATTTTTATTCCAATGTTTGAAATAAAAAAATTTAAAAAACTTTAATAAATATATTGCTGAGTAATATTTTGAAAACAATGACTTAGCAGAGATCTGTCTTATTTATTTATTTATTTATGAAACTTGATTTAAGTGAATAATAATTTACAATTTGTACCTTATTTTACAGTATGTGCACTTAAGAATGTACTGGGTAATATAAAGTGACTACATGGGTAACGTTAGATTTAGGGATAGGTTCAGGATTAGTATTTAGTTACTACCCAGTTATTGTACCATAATAAATACATACTTATGTACACGTGGAACAAAACGATAAAATAAAGTGCTACCAGTTCATAACAATTGATGTACATTGTTTAAAAAATGTTCTCCCATTAATTTAACTTTGTCACTTATGAATAGATTGTAAAACAGAACTTTTGTTTTACACATTCACATATATTTAGCCATTTAATTTCAAACTACGTACTGTATAAGAACTTTTATGTTTTATTTTTCAAAAAAAAAACAAGAGAGAAGGTTCTATGTATTCTGATTATCATTGTCAGGGTTTAGTTTTCACCAAGGCCATAACCACCTATGACCAACCAACCATGAAGGTGGATAGATGCAGGAAAACGATGCTCTCTAGACCCATAAGCACTTGGAATTATTTCTATCCCCTAATGTTACAGACTATCCTCTAACATGCAAATCCCATACAACTAGGGCTACGTCCACATGAAGCCAGAGCTTTACCTATCCGATCTTTTTTTTCCCCCTCGTCTCAAGAAATATCTGCATCCACACGAAACCACGAAACCGACACAAAACGATGTAGTATACATGCCAGACCAGTATGTGGCACTGTAATTGTGCCACAGAGATAAACTAAAAAAGGAGAAGAAGACTTCAGAACATGGAACAATACATTTATTAATCTGTGTTAATGTTAGTTCCAGTATGTGGCGCTGTAATTCTGCCACAGAGATTCACTAAAAACGGAGAAGAAGACTTGGACTATGTGCATAAACCTTGCACGCGGTATACAAACGAACATGGAACAATACATTTATTAATCTGTCTTAATGTTAGTTAATAAAAAGACAATCGTTCAGTGTTTGTTCGTGTTTTTGTTGCTGTTACGTGACGTAGCGGTGTCTGACTAGGGGCAAGACGTGGGCTGATGACGCATACTGACAACAACAACACACGCACCTACACACCTAGGTAACAAGAGCAAAGAGCCAACCACAATTAGAATATCTCTAGCTATGGTCATGCCATCAAGCAAAATAATTAGTTTCCCCTCTTGGGTAATGACAGCACAGAGAACATATTTGAATCAGTTATTAAAAGGCAAGGACAAGCAAATATTTCTTCAGAGAAGAGCAAGTTGTTTATGCACTTACAGTAAAACTTAAGATTCATAGATTTCGCTTTAACTCTTTACAGGACAATTTGATCTGAGGTAATATTCAAATAGTTCGGGTACAATTATGCTTTGTTTTGTTAGAAAAGCAAACACCAGGAAAAGCAAACAAATGACTCCAGGTTCTGGAAAATCAAACAAATTATTAATTCATTTTTACAATTATTATGTAGTGCTAAAAGTTTAAATGACTATGTGCTTTGAAAAGTGCCAATTTATGTTGACTCTAAAAATGATTGGGAAGAGCAAACAATGTACAGTATGTTGTTTTGTAAATAAGCAGCATACAGTATGTAGATTTACATGCAAATAAAACACATGAAAATACCATCATATGTTATATGAAAAAGAAATACTGAATACTAGGTAAAACACAAATATCTATCAACATAGTCCATGCATATTTCTCATAGTGTAATGCAGACATTTAAGATGTAGACATTTAAGATGACACTTGAGATATTTAATGACAGTGAAAAGTCTGTGTTTTATTGTTCACAGGTTTTGTGTAGAGTAATCAATGGACAACCTGACATTCGCAAACAACATTCTCCTTGTGGAGGGACTGAAAGTTACACCTCAGGCTTCCTATTTTGTTTTTATCTTGCTTTTCTTGTTTTATGTCTTTGCAATGGGATGTAACATTGGACTAATAATTCTGATTGCAATAGAGAAGAACCTACATCATCCTATGCATTTTCTGTTCTGTAACCTGCCAGTGAATGACATTATAGGGACTACTGTCATTTTACCACGCTTAATGCAGGAAATTTTCAGGCAGGCCTCAGAGCGCTATATAACATATGTGGAGTGTATTATTCAAGCATATTTTGTTCACATATTTGCAACAGCAAGCCACACTGCACTAGTAACCATGGCCTATGACAGACAAGTGGCTATATGCAATCCATTGCTATACACAACTATAATGACCAATAAAATGGTGGTTAAATTATCAGCAATAGCCTGGGCACTGCCTGCAATTGTAGTGGCAATTATGATAGGTCTCACTGTACGTTTGTCTCGCTGCAGATCTAAAATTGAAAACCCTTTCTGTGACAACGCTTCGCTTTATAAATTGTCCTGTGAAAATGTGGCCATAAATAATATGTTTGGAATTGTTTATTCTGTGGCAGCACTCAGCATATCAGTGACACTGATGTTTATAACATATATCAGGATTGTTGCTGTATGTATAATTAGGAAAAACAAAGCACTCAACAGTAAAGCCATAAAAACATGTGGCAGTCACATAGCTGTTTATTTAATAATGTTTGTTTCTTGTGCCATCATGATTTTTCTTCATCGTTTTCCTGAATACTCTGAAAACAGGAAGATAGCTAGTATAATGTTTCATATTGTACCACCAGGACTAAATCCTGTAGTATATGGTTTACAAACCAACGAAATAAGACAAAAGATTGTTAAACTGTGGTGGAAAAAAAAAGTTAATATGTTGTGACTTATTCTGAGGCATGTAGCAACAAAAATGTAAGCTGAAATCATATTTTTTAAAAGAGTGAAAGAGTTCAGGCATACAGACATTTTCAGGAAAATTTAATTATGCCGCACTTGCCAATAACAAATTAATTTAGTGTGACTCTGAATTTGCTACTATTTCTTACCAGCCATTAAACTATTTAGCATTAATCAAAACATAAGCATATATTCTATTAAATATATTATGTATAAAAATATGTAAACACTCCACCTGCTGACCCATCAATGTGTTTTTTGTTATTTTGTTTGTAACATTCATTTGGTTGCTTAATAAGAGGAATATTTGACAAAAGCATCACCACATGGAATTATCGAGATAAATGTCTCTGAAATTTAAGTTAAATATTGTTAGAATTCACAAAATATATATTTACATTATTATATATATATATATATATATATATATACACATAACAATAAGGTCCCAGCTGTTAATTAATGTTAGTTAATGCATTTAATAACAACTTTTGAATTTAATGTTTTAGTAAATGTTGAAAGATTACCTGAAATTGATAAATGCTTTAAAATTATTTTTTATTGTTATTTCATGTTACCTTGTAAATCAGAATATCTGCTTTTTATGTGTTATACTATTGTAAACAACATAATTAATAACGACAACAGCTTTGTTTGGAAACTAAATTTTTCTGTTCCTCTGAATGTTCTCTTGTCTCTGAACATTGTTTGCTTGTGTGTGCATCACACAAAAGTTTTATTCACTGCTTTTGGTAATCACATTTGGGGGAAAGACAGTAATCCTTCTTTAGGAATTCATTATACAGTGTAGGAAATGTCATTGATTATAATGGGAGTTTTGGTAGGAGTTCAAATCTTAGTCACTGAGCTCGAGCTCGAGCTGAACTGAAGTGATTTTCTGCTCCAACAATTGTAAATGGAGCATTCCATGCTTTAATTCTGTACACAATTTAATCACAATTTAAAGGTGCAATAAACAATTTGTGAGGAACGCTGTTGATATTTGAAATCACCAAAACACCACTATCCAAAAGGATCACATCTTGATAGTTCCACCCCCAAATTCAAGAACATGCTATGAAACACAGGCAACTGCATGAGTGGACTTATCGGCTACAAGTGTGTTTTGGTGCTAGGTCTGATCCATTTTCAACAGCATTTCTCAGAAATCGCTTACTGCACCTTTAAATAACAAAGGATTTTCATGCTATTCAGAGAAACAATTTGAAGCTGATCAGGTGTCTCACCTGGTTGCACGCTGATGGCAACATTGCCCAGTGATGCCTGGCAATGTTGCTTGAAAAGTTGCCCCATGGATCATCAGCCTAAAAGCCCTATAAGGAGAACTTAATGGGAAAAATACTTCCGAATCTGAGGCAACTGAAAAAGTGGGTGGAAACTGTTGCACTCTGTTGCTCTCTGTCTGTTTGACAAACTGGAGCTTGTTCAGTGAAATTTGTGAAGTTTAATGAGGCACAACTTTGCTGTCAAGACCAGCCTTTATGCAAAATGGAAATATTCATGAGGATTTCTAAAATTATCTAATAAGGACATAACCATAAAATTCTGACTTTAAGAGAAAACGCCAATGAAATTTGGCTAGTGGATTCTGCATGCCTGAGCCACTCCCCATGCATATAAGCAGGGCAGGACTTAGGGGGCTCTTGGGCTTGAGGTTGTGTTTGGGCCCTATACCTACACTACAAATGCCCTCAAATAGAACATCATTATGGAGTAACACAAAATACACGATCATATGCTTTGGGGTTCATAAATAGTACAATTAATATGCAACATGTCTAGGCTATAGTCAAAGTGTAAATGTAATATTAAATATTCATTATAATATAATAAACAGGATGTGTTCTCTCAGTTGAGAGATCAAAACCCTGAAATAATTTTGAGCAAAAAAAAAAGAAAAAAATGCTAGAGATGTTGGCTTATTAGTAAAAAAAGCCAGGGATGTTGACTTATTAGTGTTATAAAAGTTATTGTCATATCTGTGTCCTCTTATGTCAGGTTCTTATTTAATCAATAAATTCAATCGAATAAAAAGACATGCTGGCTATTAGGCCTAACAATCAAATGAAATCACTATTA